TCCGGTGCGGAGACCTGAGGTGCGCAAACAGGCATGCGCGGGACTTTCGAGATCTTGCGATACAGTCCGAGCAATAAACGCGGAAGTTAGATCCAAACACCCGTTGTGTGGGAGAAGCATCGACATGAACTGTTTAATCTGCCCATCATTTGTGTTGAGAGATCAGCAGTGTTTGGATCAACAAAGTGTGACTACTTTGATAGTAGAAACTGTATTTATGGCTTATTTTTGTGCATTTAAAGTTCAACCGCCATCGACAGTTGTTAAAAGTTGTTAAACCTGTGCATATGAAACAAAAAACGCTTTTTGTTTATCGATGTATTGTGAAATAACGGAAGTTGTGCTTGCTCCCTTTCCTGTTGGGCGGTTGTGGTTTCTGTCCATTGACTGCGGAGGTGCTCCGGCGTCCAGCAAAAATAGAATCGATCCTATTTTTGCCGGACGGCGGAACGACGGGCGGCGCACTGTGCCGCACGGTCGCAGTAGTGGAACAGCTCTGATTTGACTACAACGGGACCATTTTTGCTGCGGAGTTCGTGCCGGAGCGGAGCGGAGATGGTGGAGTTTTGGGGTAACTCTTAACCTGCGAGGAACCTGTTTTGACTGAATAGCTGCTGTTCTGCGTGCGACACGTTGTGGTTCAGAGCAGGACTTTTCTGGTTATCTAGCTTATTTCAACTATGCCCGTTTCCTCCTCTGGGCAAACCCCACCTGCTCAAGTCTGTTCACCAGTGAATGTCATCCCGAGTCTTCGCATTAACAAAACTTTTGATGGAAATGTCTGTCAGCTCTTTTAAAAATGGGTTATGCAATATTTACGTTTTTAACGATTTCTTATCAGTGTTAGTGACACCACATTAATTCCTTATAATCATCGACATGGCGTTTAAGCTGCACTGGAAATGATTTAATGAACATTTACCATCTCTTTACCAAGCAGTATCCCTCAATCTGATGCTGCAGAAAAACCATTAAAACTATGGAATGAAACTTTAAAAGCTATAAGTCGAGTAGCATAATATGAGAGTGTCAGCTCATTTGTTTTTTTTAATCAATATAATGAAATTTCACACATGGCATTAACAATAAAATATTAGCTCATCAGAATTGCCTCCTCTAGCCATGGAGGTAAAGAGGAGCATTGAAACCTGCAGAAACACGTTTTTAAAGGTAAGAGAAATATCCAGCCGTGTGAAAAGTCACACACAGCACAGGCTAGGCCGGTCGGGCTTGGCGTGGCCTCACGGCGCAGCATTCCTTCACACCGATTCATAGTTTTGTTGATTTTCTAAAAACCACACCTTCACTTTTTCATCCCAGCCAAGCTCCCAGCCCCATCTAGGTTTACATGTGCAGCTAAAAGAGGAAATAAGACGTCTCGAGTTCTTACGCACGCCAATTAAACATTCAACACCGATAAACATGCACGTGCATGTTTCACATGCTTAAATACAGGAGACTGACATTAAACTGCACTAATGTAACGTCCGGTTAGGTCAACCAGAGGTCATGGAAATGAATGATGCTTAGTGTTTAACTTTGCAAAAACAATGTTTGACTCCATATTTTTAATCAGATACACTCCCCCGGCTGATGAACATTTTTACACCGACTTATCTTCCTGTGTCTGAGTGAAACAACCACCTCAGGAGATGTCCAGGGAACGCCGTAACTCCGCTTTGAATCCCTGAAAAGGATTTATTCACAAAACGGCATGTCAGCATTACTCATTTCATTAAGTTTTCACAGCATCACTTCCTGTTAGACTTTAATATTTTAGCCGTTTTAGATTGACACTATAATCTGTTTGTAGCTAAATACATTTTTTTTTTAATTGCCAAAATTAGTTATGGTGGCAAAAATGTTTGTGCTACCAGAGACAACTAAAGTTAGATTTCTCCAGAGTAGAACCTCTGCTACACCAGGTGTGCTTGTATTTCTGACCCTGGTGCACGAGTGTTGATTGGGGTGGGGAGGGGGGGCATATTGTTTCATCTATTGATGAACTTCCTATTTGGACATGTGCTACCCTAGTCTAGCTCTATGCTAAAACTGTATTTTCAAAGAGGTAATGATGGCTTTCTTTGTAAAAGTTGTCCATCTTTCCAACAGAAAAATTTGCCTGGACCAAAGTAACGTGATTACGTTACTTCCGTAAGGTTCATGTTCAGCCAATCAACTACTCTGACGTCATCGGCAGTCGAAGGACCCCGAGCCGATCTTGCACCCGAGCAGATCCTGTACAGACACCGGCTGTTTCTCCTTCTCTGATATAATTGAGTGGAGAACCTAACATATGGTTTCATCTATTGATGAACTTCCTATTGGGACATGTGCTACCCTAGTCTAGAAATCAAGACAAACCAAAGCACAGCCAAAGGATTTTGCTCTGCAAGTCGGTCTAGGCATGCTCCATTGTAGCCTCAACCCAAACTATTTTAGGTAGGGCCAATCACAGCACTCTGTCAAAGGTCAAACCTGACTGAAACATTACTCTTTTGGGATTTTCTCACTATACTCACATACAGCACCTTTAGGTAATTTATTTAGAAAAAGGATGCCTTTGTTTCTTCTTTGACGATGTATGGTGGACTACTCTGTACACTGATTTCCATACTATGACTGTTGGGTCTATCAATATTTCTCACACCTTCTTTATTTATTGTTCTTGTTACATTTTTACTTTTATCGTCTTTTTGTTTTTTCTTGTATACGTTTGGAATGCTATAACCAAATTATTTCCCCTCTGGGGTTATTAAAGCGCGTCTGAATCTGAATTACTTCTAGTTGTGTAAATGTAAGCTGTGCTAATATTTGAGCATGCCAGTGAAGAACTGCAAGCATCAGTGTGGAGCACTGAACCGCAGTGAGCGAGCTTGAACCCTACAAGAGTAAAGTATTCAAAATACTCCAAAGAAGACTTGTTTCTGATAGTAAAACTACATGTATCACTACAGTACACCAATTTCAATCAGCCTGGAAATCTGATGTAATGGTTCAAAAAATGTGGCCCACATTTCTAAGTGTGTCACTTCCTTTGTGACCACACTCACTCATCAGTGTGCTTGGCAAAGAAATGGACCCAACAGGAGAAGGTAGCTAGAAATGTGAGGGCTAGACCATCCATTAGCTGGACTAGATGATGAATCTAGTCAAGATCTCATCCAACTACAACATATGATCAGAAACAAGCACTAATAATAAAAAAACTCAGTTTTCAGTATCCGTTCAAAGCTGACCGATTGGATGTGGCCCTAACACCAATCCCATTTATGCAACAAACCCCCTCTGTTCCCAATTTGTCTTAATGAGGGGCGTTTGTGTTCATGCCAATACCTGCCTCAGCTTTACTGTGATTTCCTAAGTATTCACCTGCCAGAGATGTAGGTTCTATACTCATGTTAGAATTTGACGTTGGATGTGCTACTACTAGTTTACCAGTTTAATTATAGATCCACTAGGATAAATACAATAAAGTTTATCTCTCACCAAATAGAATATTACTAAGAAATCACAATGTAACCATGGAAACACGTGTGTGTGTGTGTGTGTGTGTGTGTGTGTGTGTGTGCGTGCGTGCATGCGTGCGTGCGTGCGCTGTCTTCTCCATCCCCAGTGAGTCGTGGTGGATGGCTGCTTATACTGAGCCAGGATCCTCTGGAGGTTTCTTCCTGTTAAAAGGGAATTTTCCTCTCCACTGTCGCTGCATGCTTGCTTAGTATGGGGATTGCTGTAAAAGACTCGATGCAATTTGGAAACTTTTTTTCTGATTGGCTTAATGAATTGGCCTGTATTGGAATGTTTACTATGTGAAGTGCCTTGAGACGACACTTGTCGTGATTTGGTGCTATATAAATAAACTTGAACTTGAATTGAATTGTTTTTGTGCACTATAGTTTGTGATTTAAAAATCTTTAACAGGGGAAGTATCTGTAACTTGTCCATCTCGTAGATTTCCTGCAGTTTTCCTCAGACATAATTAGACGTGTTGTTCTGAGGGTACAGAGCTGAAACCATGAAGCATCACATGCCACACCCTTCCCTAGCCAAGCTGCCTCCCATCACTGCAGCTTCACGGTTGTCTCAGGCTCACGTCCCTTCTGATAAACAGAGCAAAGTTTGGAAGGATTTTTTAAAAGGCTCTCGTGTTGAGGCGACTAAGCCACGGAGCTCAAATCAGAAATCCCAGCTTATGGATTCAAGCTGCGATGGCGAAGCGAAGCCGTCCGTCACCCCCACTAACACAACAGACCCGGAGAAAACGCTGCTCCTCCGCCGTCGTTCTGGGGCGATGAGCGGCGTCAAAAGGACACTACCAGGGCCTTCTACAAATCAAAACTCACAGTGAAAGGGCGCACTGAACCTCATAGATGTGTTATCATCTAGACGTCAATAAAAGTGGCATTGTGCCTAAAAGCGGGTCCTCCCTTCACTGGCAGCTCAGTAACAATGAATCTGCAGTGCAGTGCATCGCGACGTTTACCACCGACTAATCAGAATAACTCCAGCTTGTCGACAATCGGATTAATTTAGCTAGACTACACTATCAGCTGTTGGGTTATACATTCATATTTGACCGACAAGGATGGCAACAACAGCCATGTTTTGTTACAGAAGGTCTCCTTTTGTTTCCAACTTAAAGGCCTGGTGAGGGCAATTCCGTTTCAGGCTATAACCCTTTATCCTTTCTAACCTTTTAATCTTATCTTCTCTCCAAAACATCACTATGTGAGTCGTTGCTCGTGAGCAAACCTAAAAAATGAGTAAAAAACGAGGGAGGTGGGCAGGAGTCTTGTGTCCTGGTCCCGTCCCTACCACAGGTGTTTCTCATGCTAGCAAGCACAACCCCAAACAGAAACAAATATCAAGTCAGCGTTACCACCATGGCATAAATGTTTGTATACGCATCTGTAAATAAACGCGTGGTTTCAAAAGAGCGCCACACACTACCCAGAAAATTAAACCGAAGCTAGCTAAATGATCCATAAGCTAAGTCTTACCGGATAGCTTCGATTCTTTGGCAGCAGAATTCTGTCCATCGGCAAAACCTTGCGACGATGATATCTGGGCGGACTGAGTCATTGAATCCATTTTATTGAAGATTCAACAAAATGGTGATAAATGTCTGAAACGGGTAACTGTTCGATCAGCGTTTAGACCTCCTCAGTGTCTGACTTTACTTTAAAAAATTCCCTAAGAACGGGTCTCTGCTCTGCACCTAAACGCAACGTCGTAGCTCTGAGCTAAAGAGCAGCGCGAGACCAAAGCAGAGGCGGGTTAAGGAGGAGGGGTGAGTGGTGCATTCAGGTCCCTCGCGTAAGCGCCTCCATGTTATGTTCCACTTCCAAAAATACGTTTGAGTTCAACTCTACTTTCAAGTACAGAGACACAAAATCTTCAGCGTATCATAATGGCAATCTAAATTCAGGTTTGTCTCCCATGATTGGTACCTTTTAAAATTTACAAATAAAAAAGCATACATCTATTTAAAGATTTGTCAGCGGCGTTGTGAAGTTAAAATATTCGACAGCAATGGAATGCAGCATGAAGAATATTCTTGAACAAGGTTCTCAGATGGATGATTTCACTTGAGAACATGTTTGATCACAGCCTGGCTGCTGTATTCTTGACCAAAGGAAGCTACAATCCGTTTTTTTCTTCATAATTATAAAAAATTATTCAATAATAAATTGGACATATTTGTGAGTTAGTTTTAGCCACATTGACAACACTGTTTTAAATAAAACAACAGTATCTTCAAAGTCGCTGTGAAGTAGAAAACACCTAAAAGTCGTCCTTGTTTTAATATAATCTGTTTTCTATTATGTAACGCTTACCTTTTAGTGGAACATTGAGGGCTCCACAGGCCCGTACTGCCACCTAGCGTAGACTTTAATGAGTTACATAATTTAAACTACATTTCCCAGAATGCTCGGGGGACCCTGTGAATTATGTAGGCAAGATCTACATAAGACACAGATAGGACGATTCTTCGTCCAGTAGCAAACGATGCCTCCCACTTCTTGTTATGAGATCTGCGCAGTTTACGCAACGTTGATAGCGGCAACACGCACCAAGTGACTTTCGGGCAGACAGAACTGCGCGGTAAAGAAGGTACACAAACAAAAAACATGTGGCTGGGGCTAGGAAAACTGGTAAGTAAATGTGGTATATGCTGGTACATTTAATAAAAGTTAATATCTTAGAGTAAGATATTATAACAGGAGATCGCGGTGTTGTATTTTACGAACATTTGGGGTATATTCGACATCTAAAAGGGGTAAGTTTAGCCAACTAGTAGCTCGATAGCGTATTAGCTTGTCGATAAGCTGCTGCGCAGCCTTTATTCAACCTACAAGCTTGGTCGGATCTGCGGGTTTTTGGTTAGGATTATATTCACGCTTCATATCGCGACAATAGTGGATTGATTCAGATTTAAATGTAATGAGCGTGTGGACAAAAACGTCAGAGTTAGCCTGTTAGCTCATATCAACTGTTCAGTGTAACAGATAAGTTCACGTAACGAAGTATTTGGCCTGTGCTGAAATATGTAGAACATATTTGTATGAAAACCCACGTCCCGGTTAGTCGGTGACTCGTTTAATGCTGTTGCGAACCTTCCGGAGCGATCATCTTTAGCTTGGCGCTGAGTGTATGAATGTGTGTGTGTGCCCCGCCCACCCGTTCCCCGTCCTCAGCTAACGGGACCCGGTGAACCGGTTCGGCTCGGTGCCGGTGATGTGGTTGTAGTTTAGCTGGAGCAGAAAGATTCAGTCTGGAAAACAAAAATAAATACATATTATTATTATTATTATTATTATGTTATTTTCTTTATTAACGCCTACATACGACCAGGCTGTGCAGAGACTTGAGCGTCTCAGCATCACCTGGAGTTTGTAGCGTGAACATTTTTAAGACCATACCAACGACAAATGTTAGTTAAATGTATCTATAGAATGTTTTTAGTTGTTTCACTATTACGATCACAAATGATGTTATGGAACTGGAGGAGCCACAGACACATTTATGGAAATATAGGCTTTTCCAATAGCTCCATGCATCTGGATGTACACTTCCGATCTCGTTTCCTTCATATCATTTTATCTTTAAAGTGAAGCTAAAGCTCTAAACTGGCTTTTATCTTCAGTTCATGTTAAAGGTCTTTTAGAAAAGACCCAGGCCTGTTTAGTGGTAGCCAACCATTATAGGGTACTCTTTTGGTGCAGGGTTGGATGGATATGACGTGTGACCTGATTGTGACCCCGTTTCTGCTGCAGGAGAGGAGACAGCCGTACATCTGAGTTGTGACTGGCAGAAGGCGTCATGGGTTTGCACACGGCACAGAAGAAATACTTCCCCTTGAGGGGGATCGATGGAGTGGTTCGGCTGTTCACCGCCGAGCTCCGCAAGTCTGAGCCTGACTTGGCTCTTCTCTCGCTGGTTTTGGGTTTTGTTGAGCATTTTCTAGCTGTGAACAGAGTCATTCCAATAAACGTTCCGGGGGTCCGGTTTGAACCCCTGGAACCAGACTGTCCCAGCTCCTGCTTCCCCACAGTGGAGCTGGGCATGATATCTGCACTGTATGAGCGCTTCACGGCCCAGATCCGTGGGGCAGTGGACCTGTCCCAGTACCGGAGGACATCTGCGGGGTCCAGCAGAGAGCTGGTGAAGAAAGTGTCTGACGTCATCTGGAACAGCCTCAGTCGTTCCTACTTTAAGGACCGGGCGCACATCCAGTCCCTCTTCAGCCTCATCACAGGTACGTGTCAGGTCCTCAGCGAGGTGTTGTCATCCACGCTGTCGAAACTGATTAGAAGGAACATTTTGGGTTTTTTAACCATCATAAATATTGTGTTCTGTGGGAAACCTCACAAAAAGGATGTCAGAGCTGAGTATTTAACTACTGTGTATTTCAAAAGGCCTTTGGGGTGAAATTTATATTGAAAGTAATCATCCACGAGTCCATCCTCTAAACCAGGTCACACGTATCTAGGTGTCTACTGGTTACCTGATAAAACCTGAAGCGTCTTTGTTTAATCTCGGAGCTCACCCTGAAAGTAACCGGGGATTAAATCTGAACAGGGACCAAACTGGACAGCTCTGGAGTGGCTTTTGCTGTGGTGGCGGCCTGCCAGGTGTTGGGTCTGAAGGATGTTCACCTGGCGCTGTCAGAGGACCACGCTTGGGTCATCTTTGGCAAAAATGGCGAGGAGACTGCAGAGGTGACCTGGCATGGGAAGGGTAATGAAGACCGGAGGGGACAAACCGTCTCTGTTGGAGTCAGCGAGAAGGTCGGCCTCATCACGAAACACTTTGAATCGTTCACAGAAAGTCTGCTTCGTGTTTGTGTTAATCAGCAACAGACGAGTGGAGCTAGTCAACATTTAAAGAGCAAGTCACCCCCTGCCAGAGTCTTACTCCACTCCCACTTCCTGTTTGAAAAATGCAAAAAATGCTGTTGCCTGGCAGACTGAAAGGGCGGAGCCACTAACAGATACACACACACGACATTGTGACCTCATAATGTACCAGCTGACATCATAGTGTACTTCTTAGCGTATAGCAATGGCAGATTAAATTTAAATGCAGTGCAGAGTTTTTACCCGACAACTGTGCAACAATGACAGTTTTAGGCAGAATATTTAAATTTTAACTAAGATGCACTTAAGTGCCAAATGACTGCATGTGTCTACAGCATGGTCAGACACTCGTTTATTTAGCTAATCAGCCAAAAAGAAATGGATTTGGGGGTGACTTGCTCTTTAACGCCGTTACACTCGTCCGACCGCCGTGTTTACCTGGTGGTTCTAGAAGAGACTCATTTTGTGTGTGTGTGTGTGTTCTCCAGAGCTGGCTCTATCTGAAGGGCTCATACATGAAGTGTGACAGAAACATGGAGGTAGCCTTCATGGTTTGTGCCATCAACCCTTCACTGGACCTCCACACGGACAGCTCTGAGCTCCTGCAGCTGCAGCAGGTGAGCACTCACGGCCTTTGTGACGAGGCTCAAAGGGTGAACGGATTTTTAAAGGATGCATGATAAAGGAACCTAACCCATGCATCGGAATGAAGAACGGAATAAACCACCTCTCTCAATCGGATTGAAATTTCAATCCGATCGGGCCGAATCGGATCAGAATATTCCGATTGACATGTTTACATGCAGAATTTTCGATCTGATTGGGCATTCAGTCCGATTAAATATGCGCATGTAAACGTGGCTAGTGTCTGATCTTCATCTAAACTGGCTGAGGATGGACAGCCCTTGTTTTGTGACTGCCTCCATTCACTCGTCTCTGTTCGTCTTCCTGCCACGACAGAAGCTGCTCTGGTTGCTGTACGAGCGAGGCGACCTGGACAGGTACGAGGATTTTCTACATTACAGCGGAGAGGAGTCTCGTGTGAAACTCCGGACCTCAGCAGAGGCAACGCTACCGGCTCGCAAGGTGACACGTGTCCTGTCTCTTCCACCAGGTATCCCATGGCCATGGGGACGCTGTCAGACCTGGAGGATCAGGATCCCATCCCGGGGAAGGAGACCCCGCTGCAGATCCACATGAAGGTAGACCGAATGAAAAGGGTTCCACGTCTAAAACAGGAATGTGCGGTTTGGTAAATACACATTTAGATTTGGATTTAAGCTGCAAACAAACTCAAACAGGGCAGTTAACTGAAGTTCTTCTTATTCCGCATATATGTGAGAGTCTGCCGCGCATGCAGGCTCTTTCTGTTTCTGAAGGCCGCGATCCGGTGTTTGTTTTAAAGTCAGAGCAGGTCAAGATGCCAGGAGGAACGCTCTGGTTTCCCGGTGTGACTGGCGTAAATGTTTCTCTCCCTTCCTCAGGCCGTGACCTCTGCTCAGAAGTACTACAACAACGAGCACATCTATCCCTACATGTACCTGGCGGGGTTCCACTACAGGCACAGGAACGTGCAGGAGGCCCTGAAGGCCTGGGCCGACGCCGCTCAGGTCATGCAGGAGTGAGTTCACGCCACGAGAGGTCGCCGCCCACATGTTTAGCTGAGCGGGAAATAAAAGCACGTCGGCGTCCCTGAGCTGAGCTCAGAAACGCCATTCTGGTCCAGTAACAGGATGTTACAGCTCACGTTGAAGCCGTTTGAGTTGTCATCACTTTAAATGATAACAGAAGCGTGTCTGGGGTTTGTTCAGACCCCATCCTGTCTCCACTAAGCTAAAGGGATTCGCATAGCTGTGATCACTAGACCCGTGGGCAGATTTGTGTTGTTTTGGCTGCTGTTTGACACAGTAAACACTAGGGGGCAGCAGATGCCCAGCCGTCTTGTCTCTAGGTGTTTTTAGTTACTGTACATCCAGCGGTGATGTCATCACGGGGATCTGCAGCTGCAGGCGTGGTGGAGTCGCTGTCTGAGCCTGTCCCACCAGGGGGTTTTGATCCAGAAGAATTCCAGTCATGTCTTTCCTGGAGCGCTGCTCCGCTCCATCCGGGAGATGTTTCCCTGCTCACCTCCAAACACACTCTTCATGAGCAGGAGCTATAAATACCAACACACACATTCCCTACCAGCTTCCCTTTCCTGCTTCTCCATTGTTCTTTAGTTTCAGCCCGCTCTGCACACAATAACGGGAAGTGTGTGTGTGTGTGTGTGTGTGTGTGTGTGTGTGTGTGTGTGTGTGTGTGTGTGTGTGTGTGTGTGTGTGCTCTGATAATGATGGCCTCCGCTCTACACCTCTATAAGCCGTCCCTGATGTCTCTTCCTGCCTCCTGAGCGTTCCGTTAAAGCACCTCCTCTCTCCTGCTCCTGCAGGTATAACTACTTCCGTGAGGATGAGGAGATCTACAAGGAGTTTTTTGACGTTGCCAATGACGTCATCCCCACTCTGCTGAAGGAGACGGCTGCTGCCGACAGCCCTGGGGAGGAAGGAGAGGGCGGAGAGGGAGCCGACATGGTGAGCCTGTCCAGTCTCAGGGTGGAGCTGGAGCTGACAGGAAGTAGCCGGGCTGGTTGTGAAGCGTTAGTGCCTGGTGGTGGTGTCCACAGTGGGAACACGACGCCACACGGCTCTGGTTGTAGCTCTTCTCCGGCTCCTGGTCATCTCACTATCCTCACTGAAATGGAACGTAGACCCTTCAGACCGGAGAGGTGCAGGGTGATGTGTCTGAGGTCAGAGGTCGCACAGCAGCCAGCGTCCTGTTACAGCTCCACACGTGGAAACACAACACAGAAGGACGAGTGGTTCGCCGAGATGATCTGAACATCTCTGGTTTTGTCTTTCAGGAGCCCACCAGGCAGGGAGCAGCTCTGTCAGCGCTGCACGACCCAGAATGCTTTGCACACCTGCTACGGTTTTACGACGGCATCTGTAAGTGGGAGGAGGGAAGTCCCACTCCAGTCCTTCATGTGGGCTGGGCCACCTACCTGGTCCAGTCTCTCAGCCGCTTCGATGCTCAGGTGAGGACCTCAGAGCAGGTCTGCCTTTGATCTGAAAGCGTTGGAGCTCCGTGTCTGAAGGTGTGGTGTGCTGATTTTAAAGGTACGTCAGAAGGTGTCCATCATCACCAAAGAGCCCGAGTGCCAGGATGATGATGACCAGTCCAGCGAGGACCCCCGGGAGGGCCGCAGACGTGGTCCGAGGAGAGAGTCCAGGCTGGAAGATCAGAGCTCTTCTCCTGCTGCCCCCACCTCGCCGTCCACTCTGCCTCCTGCTGCAGCCCAGCCCAAGAAAGTGGGAGACGGAGTGGTCCGGCGCCGCTCTTCCCAGAACCTGAGGGCTCCAGAAACCGAAGGGCCAGCCAAGTCCCCTAGCCAAGACTCTGTCTCGTCCCCCTCGTCCCAGCAGCAAGCCTCGCCCTGTCCGGCCGGCCCTGTGGTCATCTTTCAGAGCGAGAAGATGAAAGGAATGAAGGAGCTGCTGTGTGCAGCCAAGGTGAACTCCAGCGCTATCAAGCTGCAGCTTACAGCACAGTCCCAGGTCCAGATGAAGAGGCAGAAGAGCACACCAGCAGGGGACTACTCCATGTCCTTCATGAAGCGCCAGCGCAAGTCCCTGTAGACCTGCCGACTGTCCTAGAGGAGACTGGAGGACATACTGTGAAAACCAGCAAGACTTGGTTCTGGTGTTCTGACCATCTCAGCCCACATCCTCGTGGTCCTGAGCAACATGATGGACAGACAACGGGAAGTAGAGCATCACATATCGGATCCGGCGTGGGCGTCTTTGTCTTTTAATTTAAAATGTTCCTAGAGATTTCCTGTTTGGTAGATTTGACGTTTGGTTGTTTAGTTTGACCTGATGACCTGTTGCTCGCTGATGTGACGTCTCATTGACTCGTGTAGAAGCCAAAGTATGGAAGAAGGTGGCGATGACTGAATCCTTGGACGTGATTGATTTAGGATAGTTACTGTGTAACATTGTCCACTCTGATCTATTGACAGCTTCTTTCTTGCTAGCTCTTTGTTGCCTTATTTTGTTTGTGTTGTTTTCCAAGTAGGTGGCCTTTAGTTTTGAGAATGCCCAGGTTAGGACTAGCTCTGATCACTGGAGGAGACCGGGAAGACCATGCACTGTTGAGACAGAGCATGCTAGGTTGCTCGTCGTATTTTTTTTTAATCCGCAACAGGGAACTGATAAAGAACTGATAAAAGCCAATGGTGTGTGTTTAATCGCCTTGAGTTTTGGGTCCAGCTGCCGTGAAATCAGTTTCACCGCGAAAGGTTTGGTTTTGGAGCAAAAATCGAGTTCATGTGTTGACTTCTAGTGTGAGCAGAAACATCTGGAGATGCAGCAGGGCACCGTTCAGTCTTATATTCAGTCTTTGTACAACACAATCAATCAGATTTATTTATACAGCGCTTTTCAAACAAGGTGCTTTACAAAATGACCCCAGATTAACATAACAGGTTAAAAACATTAACAAGACATATGCAAACCCATACACACACAAGTAAAAATTATATTTGGCTGAGTCCAGATGAGCCAAGTAAGGTAAGGCAAGGAAACGCCATCAGAGGAGCCGTCTGCCCCGGCAGCATCAGGTCTTCCACACTAAGTCAGGGCGCTCAGTGGAGGGGGAGCATAGACCCCCACCTCCACTTAAACCCCACCTGTAGAGCACCCAGGAAGCAACAGTCGACCACCGCTCCCGGGGCAGAGGGCCCCTACAGAGGAAACACTGGATTAAAATGAGTAAAAATACAATAAAAGAGCTAATATAAGGGACAAAAGTTAGAAAATAAGTTATAAATAAAATCATAGACAATAAAATAATATTAAATAATGAAAACAATGCTAAAATATAATTAAAAAAACATGCAAAGCAAGCAATAAAATATAATCATGTAAAACGAGAAATAGTAAATATTTAGATAAAAGCTAACCTAAAAAGACGGGTCTTGAGCCTGGACTTAAAAACATGAACGTTCTCTGCGGCCCTGAGGTCCTCTGGCAGCTCGTTCCAGAGGCGAGGGCCACAACACTGGAAGGACGCCTCGCCACACAACGTCACAAAGAGTCGTCTCAAGCTTCTTACAAGAGTTCGGTTCATTATTCCAGTTGTTTTCCATTTAAGGAAACCCAGCAGGTCGTGTTGAGTCACTGACTTGCACCATTCACTTTGTTGTGTCAGTGACTACAGCACTCCCCATACCAGGCAAGCATGTAGCGACCGTGGAGAGGAAAACTCCAACAACCTGGCTCCGTATGAGCAGCCATAACTGACTAGGGTTCATTCTTAAGCCCAGTCTCCACTTCTCCATCAGCAGGTTTTCACTCACACTCATACTGACATTCCCTTCATACTTCCTCGGTGGTGTGTCAAGGTTGGTTTATGCTTGACGCGTCCGCCAGGTTCGCACGGCTCCGTGCGGCAAATTGAGTTATTTTAACAACCCCGCGCCTCCGCATGGCCCAAACTTTCCGCACCGCGCACTTAGGAAATTTTCTAACCACGCGGACGGTCGGACGCGGGAAAACATGGCGGACTGGCGAAAACTACCTTTCTCAGTGACCTAGTGGTAGAGTGTCCGCCCTGAGACTGGGAGATCAGGGGTTCGATTCCTGGTCGGGTCATACCAAAGACTTTGAAAAAATGGGACCCAATGCCTCCCTGCTTGACACTCAGCATTAAGGGGTTGGATTGGGGGGTTAAACCACCAAATAGTTCCCGAGCGCGGCTGTGTCTGCAGCTCACCGCTCCCCCAGGGGATGGGCCAAATGCGGAGAACAAATTTCGCACACACACCTGTGTGTGTGACAACTAATTGGACTTTTAACTTTAACTAGTACGGCAGAGAATCGTAAATACAGACATTTGTATGATTCAGCTCTCAGAGATCACCGTGATCAACATGTTGTTAATAATTCTTGGAGAGAAATAGCTCGCACTGTCGGAAAAGATGAGGACGCTGTTAAAAATGCTGGAATGCCATGTTGTAAACAACAGTAATTTTTACTTCTACTATGGTGTAGTGTTGGATGCATGCCGTAGAGCTCCATGCTGCCCCCTACAGTTTGGGAGAATATTGGCTCACCGCAGAGACGAGCCGCATGAACCGTAAACGCTGCAAGTTGTGAAGCGCGTTCCAGCCGCGAGCCGCATCACCAAGCGGAAAGTAAATGCGTCAAGCATAAACCAATCTTTAGTGTAGCAGGGGTCGTTGACCTCTTCAGGCGGGTCTGGTGGTCGACGACGCTTTATTTACTGCAGCTTGTAAAAACAAATATCTTGAAGGTTTGACTTCATATTGTAAGATTAGAAGCTGGTGTCCATATTGGGATTTGTTATTGTCCCTATTTAGTTAAAGTTTGGGGGAAAAAAATCTTGTAAACACCAGTCGACTCGAGGAGTAACGGCTGACAAACCGAGTGCTCACTGAGCTGGAACAGCTTTAATCTAGAGGACAAAAGTCTTCCAATCCAATCCAATTTTATTTATAACGCATTTAAAAACGGCATGTCAGCTGACCAAAGCACTGAACAGAGTCAAACCTAAAAAGCCATTCAAATTCACATACATACACATTAAACACAGATTAAAACCGTCATAAAATAGAAACACCTCAAATCAAAACAAAAGTTAAAACAGCCAATAAAAACAGAAGTCAGTAAAAACAGAAGAGAGGCACAGCATAAAAGACCGATCATTGACCAAAAGCTAAATTAATGAAATGTGTCTTCAGGCTGGATTTAAACTGTGCCAGTGAAGAAGCCTGGCGTACCACCAGAGGGAGTGCCTTCCAGAGTCTGGGAGCAGCAAAGGCGAACGCACGCTCCCCACGAGCTTTATATTCTATTGTAGGGACTTTGAGCAGTAGATGGTCAGCAGACCTTAGTGACCGGGGAGGGGGATGTAGGGGGTGAGCAGCTCTGACAAGTATAAGGGGGCTAGACCATTCAGGACTTTGTAGGTAAAAGTTAGAACTTTGTGTTGTATTCGAACTTGCACAGGAATCCAGTGTAGGTCAGTCAGAATGGGAGTGATGTGACAGCGTTTATTTGCGTTGGAAAGAAATCTGGCTGCAGCATTCTGGACATTCTGTCTGGTCTTTGGTACAAAGAAGTCACCGTTGGTGGAATGTCCGTTCACCAAGGACCAATCACCAACGAGCGCTCTCTGTTGCATTTGATAGATAATTGGGCACTGCTCGGCTCTTGCATGGATAACGGCGCTACGTGAAGTAAAACTATACCTTACTGCTCCTCTTTATGAGGTCACCAACCGCCTCTAAATCTAGAAGGACCAGGTCCATCATCATGTGACGTATCTGAGACAGGCCACCAAACCAAGGTCCAGGGTCTTCATTATCAGTAACCTGGTAGATTGTTCTACAACGTGGATGGAAACGCCCCTGCATGTAGAGGTGAGCATGCTGTAATCGAAGAGGAAGATAGGCCCCTGATTGGTCTTGCTTTATCAAGCAGTCAAAACTTGTTCAGGATGTTGTAAACACTCCTGATAGAAGAGGGAGAGGTTTGGATGGAGTGCAAACTTCTGACCTCCATCTATACCAGCAGCTGTTTGGGATCTGTCAGTGAACTTCTGGTTGGACAGCAGAACTCTGTTCCCTCATGACGTTCCCACGGTGGTGAAAACAGAGCCAGGATCAGCTCTTGGACTGTGTTTGTGCCCAAGTAGCAGGAACCAAGGCCAGTTCTAATTCACACATCTGCTTTGACACGTGGTCCTTTTGGCTCCTAGCTCAGAGTAGAAGCTCCTCCAACAAGTGACGTAATACTAAAATATCACCAGAGATCTCTGCTGCTCTTCAAACACATGAACAGCAGCAGTCAAAAGCACTGGCCTGATTTTTGGGGGAACCCCACCCCCCCCCCCCCCCCCCGCCCCACATACACACACACACACACTTTTTCCAAAGTCATTTTTTGTCCCCTGCACGTTTTACCATCCAAACACAACAGTACGCTGTGTTAAACAGACACTGGTTGGGCTCTAGGACTGGTTGAAGCCTGTTTCCCATCAGAACCATCCAGAAGCTCACCTATTGGCTCTGCTGATGCTTGCTAACGTGTGATTAGCCGTCCCTGCCACCTGTGTACTTGACAGTTCTGCACTGCGTAAAAGAGCCTCTAGGCTGTAGTTTTACACATATTTTTGTATACTTACTGTAAAGATCCCAGCCCCCCACCGGGGTCCTCATGCCGGTTGTGTTCCCCCCCCCCCCCCCCCCCCCCCCCTTCTAAAGTCCAACTACGTCTGTGGTCAGAAGAACAAGGTTGAAGCACCAGTCTCCACCTATAAGAGACAGGAGAGATGGTTTTGATTCAGTGAATACACCTGGACATTCACACTCAGACAGGTGAGTTAGGCATGAGTCTTCACACTGATCGGAGGGTTAGATGGACAACAGATGGATGGTGGTTGGGTAGATGGACCGTGCTGGACCTCATCAGCTTCCAGAGAGAAGATAATGAACCCTTCATGATGCTCTGAGTTCCTCACACGTTTACCTGGTTTATTAAACCATGACCAGGTGTGTATAAATCTTGTTGATGCAGCTTGTATTTCTGATTCTTTGCGTCCTGGTGTAACGTGAAGAGAAACGAGACCCCTGCCTTCTGATGATTATAATAATTCATCATTTATTTTGGAGCTGAAAGTGAAGGTCACGTTGTGACACAAATCTATCAGAAATGAACTAAATGGCACAGAGACAGCAGGTTTTTCCGGGTAGAGCAGCTCAGGAGGACAGCTTCAGCGTTTTCAGCGAACAGCCACTGCGCATGCGTGCTGTAACTCCTGCCTAGCAGACGGAGCTGCTGTCGCGGAGTCAGTCGCGTCTGATTACTCCTCCACTCCGACCCGAGCTCTTCTGGACCCATCAGAACACCGACCGGGACCGGCTCGGTCTCACAGCTGGTCTCCGGCTGTCCTCCTCCGGGATGTTTTAGACATCTGTCCAGGTGTCCACAGGTGTCCCCAGCATGGACAGGATAGGGGTGTCGTTCTTGGACCCTCTGGAGGACTACGAGCTGATCCACCGGATTGGGTGCGGTACCTAC